TTGGGCAGCAGGGGAGTGGCGCGGCGTGGGGAGGCCCCATCGGGACACCTCTTGGGCTCGTAGGCCGGGGTCCCAGCTGCAGGCCGGCGCCAGAACATCGTGAGTCCGAGCTCAGCTCAGGACATCTTTGCGCCTGGGGGACGCGCGGGGGCGAGCGGGACCGCGGGGAGGTCGCGCGCCAGCCCGCAGGCCATAGCGCCAGGTAGGGGCAGCTGGAACCGGCTCGGGCAGGACCCTCCCCTGCTGTGTTCGCGCCCAGTTGTGTCCTTGCCCTGCTGTGTCTGCGCGCGCAAAGACGACAACGGCGGGGACGCCAGCCCTTTAGGGGTGGCTGTGACGTTGACGTGAGCTAGTACACGCTGGGTGCCTAGCACAGTGTGGCAGCCCGGGCACCTGCTGGCCGAGGACCGCCTTTCTTATCACTTAGTACAGTTGGGAGAGGGCTTGCCTAGAAAATGCGAGAAACGGCGTGGAGGCCCATGCCTGTGATCCCAGAATTTGGGTAGGCAGAGTCTGGAGAGATGGATCAGCGAGAGGAGCAGGGTTCGATTCCCAAAACCTTCAGGAGTGTTCAACCTTTAGTCCCAGGGGATCCACCACCCTCTTTTAATCTCTGAGGGAACCAAGCACACGTGGTGCACAACCATATAGGCAAAACACTCATACACATAAAATTTAATTTTTTTCTTAAATTTACGGCTATTGCCAGGCAGTGATGGCACACACCTTTAATCCCAGCACTCAGGAGGCAGAGTCAGGCGGATCTCTGAGTTTGTGGCTATCCTGGTCTACATACAAATTCCAGACCAGCCAGAGTTACGTAGTAAGAGTCTATCTCAAAATTAACAAAAAATAAACTCAAGGTTGTTTTTGGTTTCATAACAACTTCAAGGTCAGCCTGGGCTAAGTGAGACGCTGTCTCAAAAACATTACCATGACTTGGAGTTTTGTCTTTGTTCTGCTCCTTATTAGCCTTGGGATCTGGGCAGCCAGAGAATGTCCGCCAGTCAGCTCTCAGAACTAAAAGCAGGTAAAGATGCACCCACCTCTCCATTTTGAGGAAGGGTCTCCCTGTATGGCACAAGCTAGCCTAGACTCATCCTCCTACCTCTGTCTCCCAGATTGTGGGATTACAATCCTGGGCTACCACCCGCAGGTCGCATGTGACTGAAGACCATAGAGGAGACACTCATGGGAAGCCGGACCTCCTACTGGTTGTAGAATAAACTGGGGATCTGGCTGCCTGTTGTCAGAACTGGAGCAAGCTGCAAATACATAGGACTTTCTCCCGCCTCCTAGCCGAGATTCTGACTGGGTCTGAGGAGGAGCCAAGACCACTTGTATTGCCCCTGCCCCAATGTTGGGGATGAGACTGAGAGCCTGGCAAGACCTGCTGTAGAATAGACAAGTGCTCCATCATCAAGCCGGCTGCTTCCACAGCAAACGCCCAGTTAGGGAGGAGAGCCCCAGGCTCCCTTCAGCTCTGACACTGGGGGTGGAGATGGGGCAGCCTCCAGGCCTGATTCTTCCCCAAACATACCCTACTCTCAGATTGTCATCTGCTCTAAACTGGTTCCTGGGTGACGTCTCACTCACCGTGTGGGGTCTGTTAGGCGAGGCCCTGGAAGGTCCTGTGAGTTTAGAGCCCCCCAACAGGTGGGCCATTTGCTGGGGAGCCCATCTTTCCACTTGCTGACTCTGGTAGCGCCTCCCAGGGGCCTGCAAGTCTTTGCGGATTCATTGTGATCCGCTCTTACCATAGCCACTGGTAAGCAATGGGCACTGTGGCCTGGTGACAAGGGTGGGGCTGGTCTGCCCTGGATGCCAAGGCCACACCCACAGAGGCCTTGACACTTCTGGCCAGGGCAGCCATGCTTAACTCATAGAGGAATAGACCCTGTTCTGGCTCTTTCAGATCTAGAGTGGCTATATTTCGCTGAGTGAAAGGGGGAGGACTTCCTGTCAGTCCCACCCTCCTAGGACAGTAGGGACACAATGGACCTGGAAATCCAAGAACCAAGGTCAAGTTTATTTTTTTGCTTCTTTTGGCTATATGATGCGGACAGGTTTCTTTCTTCCTGGGGGTTCCATGAGCCCAAAGGATAGATATATGGGTGCGTCAGCCAGTTGTGGTTGGGAGAGAGCTGGAGGAAGCCCATGGGAGTGCAGAACTTAGGTTGGGGATGAGGGTACAGTTGAGACCAGTATACCCAGGTATGATATCATTTTATAAATTTAAAAAAATGAGTATCACTCATATGCCCAGAGGAGGCCTCATGAAAGATGGGTTCCATTTTCTGTGTTGCTCTTCAGAGGGATGGAGGCACGTATTTCCTCAGGAAGTTAGAATATTGGGTGGGGGACATAAACAACTTCTTTTAAATTTTTTTTCTAAGACAGGGTCTCCTTAGCTTTTATACTCACTAGTCACAGATGACCTTGAACATCTGATCCTACCAGGGAAGGATGGCTCTATGGTGTGGGATGATCTCTGTGGTGAAGTCAGGTTTATCATACAGGTGCAAAATAAAAAGTCAAAAGTCCACTCACACGCGGTACAGAAGGAGTTTGAGACCCTCACCCTACATTTTTATTCTGATTGAATAAAAATTCGTGATTCGAATTCCCAGAAAAGACCACTCCCATTGACCAAGCCGCCCCAATGCCGAATTCCACAACAGGCCTCCAACTCCTAAGTGCAGGAACTGTAGGCTTGTACAGCTGCCGCTGGTTGTATGCGGTGCTAGGGATCAAACCCAGGGCGTTGTGCATGCTAGGCAATCACTCTACCAACTGAGCTACGTATTTTTTTTTTAAATCTTGGCCGTGTGGAGCATGGTGACTACGGATAGATGGAATATTGTAAATTGAAAGCCAAGAAAGATGGCGGTCTATTCTAGGGCCTTGGATTTATCTTGACTTTGTGTATGGCAACATTCCTGTTGAGTTGGTAAATCTCTCAGGTTACACATAGCTGACCTCTGGCATTCACAGCCTTGAAGGTAAGAACACCAATGCCAGGCAGGGTGTCTCATGCCTTTAATCTCAGCACTCAGGAGATCTCTGTGGTTTCGAAGCCAGTTTGGTCTATATAGTGAGTTCCAGGCCAGCCAAGGCTACATAGTGACACCTTGTCTCAAAGAAAAGCAAAGCATTTAAGAACACTGGAGACAGCTGGGCAGTAGTGGCGCACACACTTAATCCCAGCATTTGGGAGGCAGATCTCTGTGAGTTTGAGGCCAGCCTGGTCTATAAGAGCTAGTTCCAGGAAAGACTAAAAGATCTGCAAAAACTCTGTCAAAAAAACAAAAACAAAAACAAAAACAGGGGCTGGAGAGATGGCTCCGTGGTTAAGAGCACTGGCTGCTCTTCCAGAGGTCCTGAGTTCAATTCCCAGCAACCACATGGTGGCTCACAACCTTCTGTAATGAGATCTGGTGCCCTCTTCTGGCATGCGGGCATACATGGAGGCAGAATGTAGTATACATAATAAATAAATAAATTTTTAAAAAAGGTTAAAAAAAAATAAAGGTTCTTTGATTTTAAAAAAACAAAAAACAAAACCACTGGAGACAGCATCTGAGCCCTTTAGGAGAGGCAGGCAGAGCTGAGGCTCCACCATGTTATCTAGCCAGTGGATTGATTTGTCCATTTTTGGTGACTATGAAAGCCCCCCCCCTTTCTTACATAAGGGTCTCTGTATCTTATCAGATTCCTGATGGAAGCAGGCAGTTATGCAAGGCTAACGACATGAGAATGACACTAAGGAAGCCAAAGCAGGCTAAGGGTCACCTTGGTCAGCTAGGCTGGGTCCAGCCAATTTACTGTGGTCTTGTTTCTTCGTGGGTGGGCAGTCACGTGATGTCCTGGGGTGCTGGTTTTCAGCTGTATGAGCCTTGGTCACTGTGCATTTTGCATTTTACACATCCTACCCTGCTTGTAGCTATTCATCTTTTAATCTTTTTGTTTGCTTGTTTGCTGTTTTGTTTTTTTTATAAGATTTTTTTATTGAAATTTATTGAGCTCTACATTTTTCTCTGCTTCCCTCCCTGCCTCTCCCCTCCCCCGTTAAGCTCTCCCCTAAGGTTCCCATGCTCCCAATTTACTCAGGAGATCTTGTCTTTTTCTACTTTCTACTTCCCATGTAGATTAGATCTATGTAAGTCTCTCTTAGTGTCCTCATTGTTGTCTAGGTTCTCTAGGATTATGGTTTGTAAGCTGGCTTTCTTTGCTTTATGTTTAAAAACCACCTATGAGGGGCTAGGGAGATGGCTCAGTGGTTAAGAGCACTGTCTGCTCTTCCAGAGGACCCTGGTTCAATTCCCAGCACCCACATGGCAGCTCATAACTGTCTGTAATTCTGGTTCCAGGAGACCCAACACTCATGACAAAACACGAATGTATGCAAAATATAAATTAATAAATATTTTTTTTAAAAAAACCACCTATGAGTGAGTACATGTGATAATTGTCTTTCTGTGTCTGGGTTACCTCATTCAAAATAATGTTTTCTAGCTCCAACCATTTTCCTGCAAAATTCAAGCTGTCATTATTTTTTCTGCTGTGTAGGACTCCATTGTGTAAATGTACC